TCTCAAGATTTCTATGATTAACCGAGTCAATTTTTTGACTACTTCCACATTTTAGTTTGAGTGTCTAAATTTCTATTGTCTTCAGTACATTCACTCTATATAAGACAGTGGTGATAATTGAACCCATCCGCGATGTTGTGGCAAATTCAAACATGGAAACTTTGATTATACGGTATATAATCAATGATAGCACTTGAGACAAGGAAAGAGAGAGGACAAGTAATACTTTAAATAAAACTGTTACCATTTGTCACCAAGGCACGCCGCCAGTATCGTAACATACAAACAGCACTGTTGGGTGATAAAATTTATTCCTTTGGATGAATGTAAATAAAATTTATTAAAACAGTAGTAGAATTAATTATTTTGCTAAATATAATAGTTGAGAATTATATATTTACAGTTTAATGTCACTGAAAAATATGTGAACTACTTTCAAAATAATTCAAATTGGCAAATAGACAGCCTAGAACAACGCGGTACACTCCCAGTATTCTAAACTGAGCTATAATGGTACTGTTTTGACAGTTCTATTAATCGATTTCAAATGATGAAAACAATATTAACAACATGTTTTGCTATACAGGGTGTAGCATCTAAGGAACCTCTTTTGTTACATCATGGTACACTTGGATTCGGAACATAAGGTTTTTTTTTACCAATTGGCGTGAAGATAAGATTTTTCGATAGAGTGCTTTTGTATTATGATATGGTTGAATATCCTCCACATTTTAAAAATATTTGGAATTATACAGGGCGCGGCCACAAAGTAGGGCACCCAAATGGTACATTTTTTAAATAGAACTCCCTGTATTTGAATAAATTTTTGAATTCTACGTGTAATTGTACGTCCAAAACAATTTCAAGTAACTTTTAATTTAAAAAAAAAACTTCCTCAATAATATTCGGCAACAAGCACGTAGCCCAATTTCATTCAAGAGAACTAATACCTAAAAAAATCAAATGCATTTGTTTATAGTTTGTAGTCAAGTAGCAATGAAAGTATTTAGAGAAAAGATTTATTTGGATTAAGCTAACTAGTAGAAAAAAATTAAATGTGAATGAACACCTGTAAGCAAACTGGTAAGCCCTGAAGCAAAGAAATGAAGGAGGGAACTGTTTAGAAATAACATTATACTAATACAATTCGGGACATAGAAAGTTTTTTATGGCAGTATTAAAGCAAACATCACAGAAATGGCAGTTGTCAAGCAATCGAGTATTATTTTCAACAAACCAGCATTTCATTTATTTCATAATCTGTACACTTGAACCGAGGGCACTGACTTAACTACGTTATTCGATCAAACTAGGTTACTGGGTCGAATTGGGTCCCCGGGTGAAATTGGGTCGCTGAGTCAAACTGGGTCAAGTTGGGTCACTGGGTCAAACTGGGTCTAACTGAAAAGAGTATGACGTGACCCAGCGACCCAGTGACCCAGTTTAATTTAGTGACCCAGTGACCCAGTCCAACTCTGGATACATCTACTATGAAACATTAAAAAAATTGCGTAGAGGGTCTTTTTTTGGTAGGTCCAAAGTTGCAAAACTTCATACACCCTGTTAAATACATTTTCTAATTCTACTTTTAATTTTAAAAAAAGTACCTTTTTAACGCCCTATTTTGTGAACGCACCTTGTATAATTCAAAATATTTTTAAAATGTGGAAAATATTCAACCATATCATAATACAAAAGCACTCTATGGATCTTTAATGCATTACTCCGCGCACACCCTATACACGATTATGAAACTTTTAATACCACAAACAGAATCAATCTGTAGCTAGATTGATTTGTTTCTGATGTACAGGGTGGACGAAAAGTTTGACTTTTTGGAATGCTATCATATCTCACTACTCGTGTAAGATAGAAAAAAAGTAAAACCTGCCTATTTTAGATCTTTTTACGTAGAATCCAGTGGTGTAGTAAAAAAAAATGGAACAAGGTCGCGAGAAGTCTCTTTCTTTAAAATCAGCTGAGATACACTGCAATATCAACCAAAATAAGACACACGGTTCTTCTTTTGTTAGCGTGTTTTCCTCAAAGGGAAAAATCGCTATTGGCTGCACTTTGTGGTCCGTCTATCACACGTACTAGTTCTACTGAACCGATTTGGGCGGGATGGAGCTCGTTTGAAATGAAATTTCGTGCGTACCGATATTTTTGCGCATGCGCAGTATCAACAATTTGGTTTGACGCTTGTGCTATGCTAACTTTTTTATTTATAAAGATATTTAAATGAAACTTTATATGCAAACACTATGAATACAAGTGAAACTAACGACGTTTTCTAAATATTGTTTTGCGCATGCGCAGTGCAATAGCTATTTGTGTATTAAGAGCGCAAAATGATATATTGTCGATTGAAAGAGACAGTTTCGTCGCGCGGCAATCTCTTGAAATCGACAATCAATTTGCGCTCGAATTACACACAAGATTTTTTCTACAATCCAGCAGTTCACATATTTCCAGAAATTAAAATTTTTCACTCAAATCATTTTAATCTTATGCCCAAATGAAAGATGTCATTTACTGGTTGTCATTGGATACTCTGAGCAATGCATATTTGATTTATAGTTAATAATTGGGAGAGCGAGCGTTTTTTCTATTTTGTCGCTTATAAGCGACAAAGTGACAGTCCTCGAAAAAGATGACGTTTGCGTTGTCAAATACGAGCGCAAATGCCTACTTTGGATATCGATTGTAGAAAAACTTTATTTATTTATTTATTTTGCCTTTATTTTTGATTGGCGGGGTTTCAGTTAAGGCTGTTCTACCAACCCAATCCACTATACATTTATAAATATCCATGCCCGAACCCGGATTCGAACCAGGGACCCTTAACACCTCACTTTAGCTTCTACTGAACTGCGCCACACGGGCCGGCTTTTTTTACAAAAGCATTTAAATGAAATTTGATACATAGGCACTTGGGATAAAGGCAAATCTAACGCCAGTTTCAAAATTTGGTTTTGCGCATGCGCAGTGCCAACTTCTTTGTTTATGAAGGCATTTAAATGAAATTTGATACATAGGCGTTTGGAATAAAAGCAACACCAGATTCAAAATACGTAGTAAAATAAATTATTTTACATTTAACAATGCATTTGTTGATACCTTTAATTTAACTAACAGACCTTGGGCGATAGATCGCGGTCCCCTTGGAAGAAAATGGGGCAAGAATCTCGTGCCCACAGGTCTTTTTTTCCGGCCCCAGCGTTAACATTATTAGGAGGAAAATACGCTTTCGTCATTTATTGGCATAATGACTTTTTAACTTGTTTGTAATTTTATTTGGTTTTCCCATTGCTCCTAATTTTTTATTTAAAGATGTAGCTCTGTTATTCATTAATTGAGACCGGTTGTGCATCGAAGGTTTTTTTGATACAGAATTTCATTTTCTTTCAAAATACGCGTTCATATTTAAACAAGTATAAATTGCAGATAAAGCCAATTTTTTAAACGGAAATAGCTTAGTAAATGGTCGGGTTATAAGGTAGTGGGGTAGTGTTCGTGGTATTTTAGAATCGATCAATTCTAAAATACTACGAACGATGATGCTGCCGTATTCGAATTATAAACGTTCTTTATTGGCTGCACATCTTCGTTCGAACCAAATACCTTTTCCAGGATCCGGATCATTTTTAGCTTGTTCTCGAAAGCACATACCGTCTGTTTCAATTTAAGTCTGCACCATTGCTGACTTTCTTAGTTGTAGAGTTAGAGAGACGGTTAGATTGCGTAATTTTTTCTACTGAATCCAATCTGTAATTTAAAAAAACCAAAACAAAATCGCATTTTTCAGATAATAACGGAAATGGAACTTTTTTATATAGAACACTCTGTATATTATTACATCATATGGCTGTTTATTAGTCTGCAAAATTTCTTAATGCACCACAGTCAAAATACTTCAAATAACCAAGATTTTTCAATTATTTTCATTTCCGTCTAGCTATCCATGAAAATGGTAAGACGACTTTGTTGCAAAGTATGTGATTGCTAACGCGCCCGATACTAAAGAGAATGGAAACGTTTTTGGACACCTTGTTTGACATAGATCGGATCCAGGCTGACATTTTGGGGAGGGCAAATATTAGTAGAATGAACGTTGGACATCGCATTTCGGGGGGGAGGGGGGTATACGGAGGTTCCGGGAGTCCTCACCCGGAAAATCTTAAACACTAAAAACGCTATTTTATGCATATGCCACTTACATAACAAGTTTTTGTTTTAGACCTTAACTTAAAAAAGGTATCATCTGTTGAATGCAGGTTACATGTCCATCCCAGTCTTCACGGCGTTCACAATCAATAAACTTCTTCAGCAGTGCGACCTGTTGAAGTACTGTACTCACAGGGCAGCATTGTTGTGCTCGTGTCAATAAAATGACATTACCATTGGTCTCCTATATTGCGAGGCGGAGGTCGAAGCCGAGCGATGTCTGCTTTACGTAAAATACCGCATATTGGCAGGTATTGCTTCGAAATACACATATTCTACCGGAGTCTTTTACCAACCTATACGATGACATTGACTAAAAAAGAGAGAGCATCATAAAATATTGGTTCTTTTTTGAGCCGAATCAAGTTTTTTTCCGCTATTATCGCCTTTTAAACCATTACAACGACACCTAAAACGTAAATTTTCACAACGATTAAGCAAAAAAAAGAAATTGACAAACTGTAAAACGACATAAAACTGCGTTTGCTAACAAAACGGCGGTTTTTAGTTCGACAAAAATAGCGTAGGATTAAAAAGGTTTCGAAATTAGGTATGACAATTCACATGACCCTCTCTCCATTAAAACAAATCATAATAGCATACGGATGCCGTCTTGGAAGTTAAACCTGTCAAATTTACTTCCGCCCCCCCCCCCTAAAATTTTAAATTGATATCTAGATCAAATTGACGAACTTAAAATCCACATGTGTTTTTCTATTGATTCAGAACTACTACTAACACATGTTTTATGCATAAACCCATTTTGTTTTAAGGAACTCTCCAAATTTGAATGGATCAATTCAGCGATCATCGTCGACGGCGAACATTAAACCGAGCCTGCTACAGCTTCGCCGATCGAGCGTGAACAGTGAGCATGCGAAAATCGACCGTAATCAATTCGGCGACACCGAATCGAGTAGCGAGGACGACTTCGAGAAGAACCTACTCAAGAAGAAAGACTTTACGAACTTGACGAACACGCGATACAACCGCGCCTTCAGCCTGCGGCGGGCGCGGCTCGATAGCGACGCGCCCCCGCCGAAATGTCCGAACACGCCGGAGATGCGTCGGAAATTTCAGCCCGAGCACTTGCGCTCGGAACGTGCAATATCGGTCGACCGGCGCCCCGTCAAGACGAACGAGGTGCCGAGTCGATACCTGCAAAGTATTAACAAGAAGAACGCCCCCGTTGAGGTGGTCAGGAGTGTGCCAAAAATCGGATCCGGGAAGGCGCCGCCCGGCAAGCCGCAGGTGCTGTCGCGCACGGACTCGGGACGTTTCAGCGTGCGTTCCGCGAAACCGGTTGCGATTGTGCAAAAGGGCGCGAAAAAGGAAGGTAAGTCGCGAGACGCTCGAGTTACATTTTAAATTCGAACCTTCACTCTAGGAAAGAAGCAGTCGGGCGGGCGGAGCAATTCGTCTCTCTCAAGTCGAGAGGTAGAGTTTCAGAATTGGAAGCGGAGAAAGAGCTACGATCCGATGAAGGCGGCCGCCGAGGGTAAGAAGAAGGCGGAAATGGCGAAGAAGCACAACCACAATATCATGACTCAATCGTACACTGAAAATAACCAAAATCAAGACTGTGATAGTTCACCATCTCATTCAAGCTCGGTGCATAGGTCTCAGGTGGGTATTTCCAATTTGCTGTGCTTCTTCGTTTCGGGTGTACTAAGGTCGATTGTAACGAAACACAATTCACTTCACGTGGGGTAGTCGTTACTATTGGTCTTCAATTTTTATTTAATACATTCATTTGTATGTTGGCTCAAGATGGACAGATCGACAGTATCTCAAAATATGAAGTGTAAATCAAATAATTGGCGACCAACGTGGAGCGAGAATTATTTTGGCACCCACGAACGTGGGGCGGATTATCTTTAGCCAAACTACAATTAAAATTGACGCTAGAATTTCGTTTACGTTCATTTTGACTATTCTTTACAGTTAAATTGGTGGTGTATTTGAGATCGAACGAGCATGTAACAACGTAAGCGCGTGTGCCTTACTTTTTTTATCACCTTCTCTCACCCCCCTAGCACTTAATCACCTCTTGTGCGGTGTGTTAACGATTTACGCTCACCTCAGCCAAAGTCTCTTAACTTAAACCTTCTTTTCTAGAGTTTTCATGGTACCGCAGCAATAGAGCAACTAATCAGTTCGGAAGAGGAGGAAGATTTAACGTTATCGGCCGATGAGGGTTTCAGTCCGCCCACGCCCAGCCCGTGCGAGCTGAGTCCGGCGCGGCATAAAATCAGGCACGCCTGGAGAGATCGACTTTTACACTGAATCGTTTTTGTCGTTTATTTATTTAAATCATTTGTAGGTGGTTAATGGAACTCAGCTGCAATATTTTATTATTCTGTACCTGATCTACCTACACTTTTCACAACGAATCTTGTTTATTTTTTTTTTTTTGTAAATATTATACATTATTTCGGATTAAGTTCTCGCACATATCATACCTTCGATTTTGGAAGTCCCGTCTCCGATAAGCACAATTTCGAAAGAGTCGCGAACTGTTTCTGCATTTTGAATCTTCCAATCGTAACGTGAATATGATAGCTCATCTCATACTTACGTTTATGACTCTTATATTTAACTATAACGAATATTGCGAAATGTGATTTTATAATATTATGAGATTAATCTTTAAATGTGCAGATATATATTATATATTGTATGTTTTTAAGTTTTCTTTACATTAAACAAAGAAAAGAAACTTAGAAGATACCAAATGACTATTTGCTTTAAATATTTTCTGTGAGAGTACGAGAGCATGCTGTATGTTGAGCATTTTGTAATGAGAGATTTGTATATTTATGCAGAAGCATGTTTTAATTGTTTTGCTTGCGTTTCTGTTAACATTTTCACCAATAAAACCAAATTGTGTTTAATATTACAAAAATATTATTTTCCTGATCAGTTGATCAGTACCTACTCTTTTCACATTATAATTTATACGCAAACTGTATTCACGCAACCGTTAATTATTCACTTTTATTCTAATTCCACACGTCTTGCAACAACTAAAATTGCGCGGACACGCTTTCGTGACTACGCGTCTCCCACTTGCGCAACGATTAAAACCGCGGACGAGATGTACCTACACTTTCATATACGCTTCCGTGCGCGTCGCTATTTATACTAAACCCAAAGGGAACCAACGAAATTCCCGTAATTAGCGTCCCTTTTAAACCAATCGTGGAGCCGCATCTTTTGTTTTTACCGCAATTCTGTCTCTGGCAAAACGGAACCGACGCGTTAGTGAGATTCTCTAGGCTATGGTAACAATAATACTAATAATAATAATATAAAATGAGACAAAAAAATTCTAACCTGCAAAGCGGGCTCCCATTACAAATAATGTGTAAAGAGCCTAAAGAAGGTTTGAGCACACGTCTAAAGGAAGAAGACTTAAATGAGGTGGGAGGTGATATGGAGTGGCAAGGGGTAAAAAAGGAAGAGCAGTGGCAACGGCGTAAATTGCAAAATCCGTAAGCATCAGGAATGTGGTGGATCAGAAGCACAGTTGAAATAATAAGAGCCGGAAAGACATAACGAAAGGGATTTAAAGGAATGAGGTTTGCAGTGAGCAATGAATTGGCACGAAGAGAACGTTTGGTCGGCCTGTGTGGCGTGAACGCACGACTGCGGCAGTAAGGGCCCATGCTATGAATCCGGGTTCGGGCATGGATATTTGTAAGATCTTTTTGCCGTGGGAGCAGGGCCCTCGGAGGCTTTCTTGGTAGCATTTTCAGAGCTAGCTGAACATTTCACCTTCTGAAAAGTACTGGAAAGAGCCTAGAGATCGATCTGGAAAATACTATGAAAAGATTGTTGCGAATATTCTAGACGTCGATGCGTTATGAAAAATTAGTCATATCCGCGATAAGAAATTTTTTTTGTTCTAGAACATTAGGGAGCACTCGGTCAATATTCTAGAACGATTTTTATTTGCTATATAAGCAAATTGAATGGTGTTTCGAGTTAGTTCAAACATCGATGCGCTTGTGCTGTGTTATAAATTGTGAGTGATAAATACTAATTAACTATCTGTAATAAATTAATCCATTTCTAAACATTTATTGTTATTTAATTGTAAATAAATAAATCATGTAATTAGATTGAAATTATAAGATAAGAAAAGCTTCTGGAAAGTATTTGTTTAAGCACATAGCTAACCTTCCACACATTTAGATACTTATTATTATTGTACTAGTTGTGGTTACAGTCGGTTCCTGCACTACAACCTTTTGGTCTATTGTCTACCCTTCAAAAATACCAGTGCCTTTAACAAAGTCCAGGATTTTGATAAGACTAACCCTCGTTACTTATTGTCTAATTTTTTAATTACCAAGTAGGCGTTCCCTTAGCTTTGTGTATGCTTCACATTGGCAAATGACTTCGTGAGGTGTTTCTTTTTCCTTACCACAACCCATCGCCCTTTCAGCTACATCCTCTACTCTGTGGATAGCATGTTCACAGGATTATCCTGGTTGGATAGTCACATTGGTGTTTACTGATGTCCCAGTCCCAGTTAGTTCTTCTCGGATTTCTATATACGGCTACAGCCATTACTGCCACCAGATCGCGACAAAATTTTCATAGTGGATATGCACAATCTGGGATTGATTTCGGTTGACTCAGTAGTGAGCCGCGCTCATTCAGTCCCAGACCACGCATTAGCCCTTTGTACGTCCAAGGTTCTTGTACCCGGGTTACATCAATGTGATAGTTTCCTCATGTATGCACAAAGGGTGGCAGTTGCCGCCCTACTGTGATGCAGATTAATTTTGTGCTACTTTTACCATTAATCAAATAGTAAAAGCGGGATGACATTGTTTAATTGAACAATGGAACTTAAATTTTTTTTGCAGTAACATCTAAGTAATTTTACAGTTTTAAACGGTACATGCTTATACTACTGCTCAATAGAGGGCGCTTTTAAGTATACCTAAATACAGTAATTTTATTTATAGAAACAGTGGCGACAATAATAATTTTTGATTGGTTGTCGAGATCGGCGGCCATGTTCCATCGAGTGGATAATTTAAACAATTGTATAGGATAATATTGTATTGTAGGCAACACATGCTATACGTGTATTGTGTGTTGCCTACTTCTAATTTGAACTTTTGATGCAACATGGCGGCTGGGCTCCTATTGTCGCCCCTAAATGTGTAAAGTTAGCTATCTGTTGTTTGCGTACCTATCTGTGGTTTTCCGGAAGTTTCCAAAGTGATCTGGGAAGCACGTATAGGACTCCACAAATCGCTTAGTCCATTACGCCGTTTCTAAAGGCCTTTGAGCTCTTCTTGGAGCCTTTTAATACAATCTAGTCTATTTTTCAGACTTAAATCGTTAACTTTTTGTTATTTTCATTTTTTGTTTACCACCCAATTTTCTTTGCAGATTAACACCCTGTATACAGGCATAAAAAAGCATTACAGAAATCCTATACCTACTGATTACAAAAATAAAACTCCCGGAGAAGCATGTAAAGTTAATTACCGAATTCCAAGGGAAAACTGTGCCGTCATTTCAATGAAATTATTGTTGTGGGTGCTTTTTCAATTAATTGTGCTATTTTCTCCCCCCAAAATGTTCAGCGTGGATAGATATGTCTGAGACAAGAAAAATTACTCACTAGAAAATAATCATAAACATGTTAATTGTTGTATACATTTTGGGGGAAAACGTAGCACCTGGAGACTATGGAATACACCTGGCAAAAAAAGTTTTGAATCCTTACCCGAGAGCAACTAGGAAATTCTCGGTCCTTGGGTTTAATTGGTATTGAATAATTAGGAACCTCTACATTTTCATTTATTAACAACTTGTGCCTTTAATACGCAAATATATTTTATTATGTTAAAATTTAGTGTTAGTGAACAAACTACAATTTAAATTGCATTGCACAGTAGATCACTCCGTAAAACGATGCACAATTAGCTCTCCAAAAAACGCCAAGGTAGATAATAACCAGAGTTGGACTGGGTCACCTGGGTCACGTCATACTCTTTTCAGTTAGACCCAGTTTGACCCAACTTGACCCAGTGACCCAGTTTGACCCAGCGATCAAATTTCACCCGGGGACCATATTCGACCCAGTCACCTAGTTTGATCGAATAACGCAGTTAAGTCAGTGCCCTCGGTTCAAGTGTACAGATTATGCAATAAATGAAATGCTGGTTTGTTGAAAATAATACTCGATTGCTTGACAACTGCCATTTCTGTGATGTTTGCTTTAATACTGCCGTAAAAAACTTTCCATGTCCCGAATTGTATTAGAATAATGTTATTTCTTTGCTTCAGGGCTTACCAGTTTGCTTACAGGTGTTCATTCACATTTAATTTTTTTCTACTAGTTAGCTTAATCCAAATAAATCTTTTCTCTAAATACTTTCATTGACTACTTGACTACAAACTATAAACAAATGCATTTGATTTTTTTAGGTATTAGTTCTCTTGAATGAAATTGGGCTACGTGCTTGTTGCCGAATATTATTGAGGAAGTTTTTTTTTAAATTAAAAGTTACTTGAAATTGTTTTGGATGATACCTAACAATAATTTAATTACTGCGGGCCACCGGGTCAAGACGGGTCACTGAGTAAAGCTGGGTCAAGATGGGTCACCGGGTCAAGCTGGGTTACCGGGTCAAGCTGGGTCACTGGGTCAGTAAACTCACTGGGTCACTCTATGCTTGACCCAGTCCAACTCTGATAATAACAAACCACAACCGAATACTACAAAGACACCACCGAGGTGCTCAAGAGACAAAGCTACCACATCCTCTTTACAAATGAAGTTGGTCTTCTTCGCCTCGGCATCGAACTCTCTATCTTGCTCCAACTTGTTGTACAATCCACTTTCAGTCAGCCGAACAATAATAACGGTCATGCTATCAATAAAGTACCCGCGATTCGAAGCCGCAAGCACATTCATGACAGTCGGCAAAATTTTATTCTCAACAAAATAAGGAGGAGAGGATACTTGCATATCCAATTCAATCGATTGCAATGTCTTGAGAAGTATACCGTATGAGAAAGTTTTATTAGCATACCAGTTTTTTGTTAAGTTGTGTGGGTTACAGAACTGATTACCTCGCACGCGTAATCTACGAAGTGTATTGTTGAAATCTGGAAACATATGCGCGGACTCCAGATCTAACAAAATTGAAAGATTCGTCCTCATCAGCTGGTCTAAGCTCTTAATGTGTTTTCGCTAGTGAGTTTTTCCATGCCACTCGTTTGAGTGGAGTCAAAGCCCAGAAGCAAATCTGTTATGGTTCATAGGAAGTATAACATCAAGTTATGTGTGTATAGTGCAAGGTATAGTGTAGGTACCTAATACAGTATGCACCTTACGGATTTCAACGAGAAAATTAGGGTGTTGGATATGTGGATAAGTGAAAATAGAGAAAAATGTGTGCGCTGTAAGGGCACAGATATGCCCAGAACAGAGTGCGAAGTAAATCATATTCTGAATTACAATTACAATATTATATATCTATGGATTTTCGTCGATAACTGACTGAAAGTAAATCGACATTATGTACTTTAATTAATTAGAATCGTCTTCACACAATACAAATGGGATGTCAAACTCGCGGTATCACGTCGAACTTTTTTCGTATATTTTCTGTTGGGACGTTTATATACAATTTATTAGGTTCGCGATGACTTCTGCTATCACACTCAGGTACAAATGCAATAATTATTCGACGCTTTTTTCCGTCAAAACGACGTTTTCTTTCTCTGAATCGATTGTAAGCAATGCTACGGCTGAGCGCCAACGCGCGTAGTGACGTCACTACAACGTGGCGGTCATTCGAAACTTTTCAAACGATGTTCATTTTAAAATCGTGTTTGCTAATCACAACGATTTCTCTTG